CGGTGACAGAAATGGAGAAAAAACATTGGGAGAAACCAGGCTCAGTCACAGACAACACCAGCATGGCGTGGTTTAATTCCAGACTGCAACACAGGTGCAGAGGACCCGTCTGGTTCCCGTGGTCTTGTGGAGCCTAACAATCCTTCAACGGATTTGAGTTATAGAAATGCGACAGTGTGTTATGTGTATGCCAGGTTACAATGACACATGAATGAAACCTATAATGAAACATGCTCTTTAAACTCATCAGTGATTTACTCAAGACCATCCAGATCTTGATCCACTTCAACACATTATTGTACAATCCACCACCAGAGGCCAGCCTTGCCTCATTATTGACCTCCAGCTTCACATTCACTGCTGCAGCTGCTCCTTATTATCCATGATTATCTCACAGGCTCTCTGCATATGAAGAGCACTTTGTAAAGTTTAGCATGTTCCCTCATAGGAATGTTCCTTGTTCTGTTGATGAATCCGACCTGTAAATATATATATATATATATATATATATTATATTATAATATATAATATCAAGAGCAAATTGATGAACAACCACACACACAGTTTTTTTATATTTTAGAAATATAAAATATGAATAATAAAAACATAGTTTATAATATAAATAATATAAAAGTATAAAACTATTTTAAGACGTGAACTATTTTGAGACTATATAAACAATGTTTATATCAATGTTATATCAATATATGTATATAACAATGTTATAATCAATGTTTTTATTTGATGTAATTTGCTAAATAATAAATTTGCATGTCTTTCCTTTAAACACAATGAGATATTGACACATTTGACCATCACCTTACATCTTACCAGCAGATCGTAAAATATTATTCCAAAACTTGCCAGCAGGTGGCACTATATAATTTATATCTCTCGTTACAGTTTTTCTCGATTGCTTAAACACATTTCTTGAAATTGTGACTCTTTTTCTCGAAACTCTAAACACAAATCTATAACTTCTCACCCAATTCCTCATACTTCCTATTTTCAGGTCAAAATGAAGCTCTACACTCAAAACTATTCAATTTTGCTGAAAAAAACAAACTTTGCCCTCAGACATGACACACAAGCCATCAGAAACACACACACAACAACTTAGTCTTACACACTAATGCGATCAATTCATAACACTGTTGCAAAAACCTTCTTTTGGCAACCAGGTATCGTTTTACAGCTCAGTGTCTATTACAGTATACAACATAATTTGAGCAGATACATGTTACAGTAAATATAGCAGATACAGTGAAATTCAACAATAAGCTTTACATATTGTTTTCATTACACTGCTGTAAAGAGATCTTACAGTACACTAGATGAAAAGCACTAGAAAGGAAAAGGTCAAATACCAAAGAATTGCAGTTATATTGTGTGTTTGTGTTTACTAAATGAGAACATGGTTAAACCTGTGCAAAATTATGCCGTTCTTGTGTAGAGTTTTATAGAAAAAAATTGTGCCAAACGAATCAGTTATAGTGTGTTAGCAATCGAGAAAAACTGTAATACAACTCTTAACCCATTTAATCCCACTAGTCACAATAGTGACCATAAAGAAGGTTTTGATTTATAACGCTCTAAAAATGTTACTGACTGGTGTTTTAGTGCATTTCCTGCAAATATGGAAAAAATAAAGGGTCTCAATTAAATATGTGCAGTGTCACATGGTTAGTGCAACCAAACAAGTTTTTTTCATGTTTGCATCATGAGAAGATGATGGCTGCGTCAAAGCTCCCAAACAAAAGGCTAGTAAAGTATGTTAACATAAAGATATGACAAATATTTTTGGTGCATGTTATCTTTAAGGTGTCTAGTATTAATATATTAATTCACATATATTCAGTTTTGTTGAGTGTGGTCATAGAATAAGGAAACATGTTGATGGCAACACTAGTGACCGCTGGGATAATACAGTGCATTTAGGTATACATATAAATCCAGTTACAGATAGTGAAGGTTGCACTAAAATGTTGCAATGACAATAGCAATAAAAGTTCAAATGCTACAAATAAGTTACAATTTTATAATATATGTTACAATAAAGTAACAATTTTAAAATACGTTGATGGTTGTATTTTTTGTCCTTTATCTCAGTATTCCTGTCAGTGTTGTATAAGGTTTTTAATGCATAATAGTAACGCTAGAATGTGATGAAACAGAGTTTTAAAAGGCTGGGCTGAGATACATAAAAATGTTGAATTACTGCAGAAATATGTTAATTCAGTATACACATTATCCCACCGACCATAAAACACCGTTTTTCACTCACTTTTCCCAAAAAAAATGTTCAATAAATAATTATTGATTATTTACTAATGAGATCATTTGGTAATTTTCATGTCTGGGAAAAATGTGGGATTAAATGGGTTAATAGCCTATATAATTTCACGTATAACCAGCAAATGCGTTTTATTTAAAGGATGTGTCTTGAATAATTCACACCATGCGTTATTAATCTTTATATTTAATTTATTTGATATTTACGCGTAGTGTATCTTGCGGGTTGTTAGCGATTAAATATTCTGAGTAGCTAGTAATGGTCGATACCCAACAAGCCTGTTTAAATTATCATAACAGTTACGTGTAAAATATTAAAACAAAGTCTGGAAGGATAATAATATGACTATTAATGTAGTCTGTTTACTAATATAAGCTAATCTTTCCAACGAAACTGCTGTTAAAAGGTTACCATGGTAACCGTGTTCGTTAAAATGAATAGTAACGCTCGTTACTACAAAACCGTGGCCAGTACCGGCCCTATAAGCGATATATGCGGCTGCATAGGGCCCCCGTGGCCACCAGGGGGCCCCGTGTCAGGAGTTCAGACAGCAATCACGGGAGTAAGGCGAGATGGTGGTGGAGATGGCAACAGCAGAGCTGCGCTGGAGCGTTCTCTGAAGCTGAACTTCCATAGGAATTCATTAAAAACGTTCGTGGACACGCACTGTAAGTGTCTGACAAATCTTGTAGCATGCAAGGCACGCTCAGCACCTCCGGTCCCGATCGCGAAATCGAAAGTGAAACTAAAAAGGATGCGTGAGCGCATTCAAACGCAATTTCAATACCAGCAGTTTGAGAGCGGCTGCGGCTCCCTGATGCATGCAAATTAGGCTGCATACAATATCTAGGCTGTAATTAATATGCACACTATAATAGGATGTGTAGTTATAACCATCTCTAAGCTCTGAATCATGCTTGAAGAAAATGTTGGTTTCTGTTGGCGCTTTGATTATGGTTGCACTTAATAAGACTTAAGAAAGAACTGTTCTTTTTTTTTTCTATGATCAATTCGCGGAAAAAAGTTCAGATAGGAGGTCTAACATTCTAAAAACTCATAGCCTGCAAGTACAATTCTATAGGTCTGAAGAGACTCATGAAATCATACAGAAGAGAAGTCAGTCAGTTGAGTTTGTGGCAAAATCTTTTACAGTGCTTGAGTATTCTCTGTTATTGCATATAATAATTCATACTCAGAAAGCAGAACTGAGGTGGCATATATTGCAAGATTAGTTAAAACATATATTTTTCCAGGCATGTTTTTCATCATTGAAGATGTCTTCAAATAGTGTAAAAATGTTGTCTAGTCTCATTCTTGTGAACCCCATCTCGTGTCTCGTCTCGTCTCAGATTTTTGCCTTCACTTTAATGTTGCTTAAATCTGTTTTAACATGTGTTTAAACTTATATTTGATTATTTTTGCATTTTAATCTGGACTGTCATGCCAGCCCAGAAAATTAATTATTCTTCTATTATTATTATTATTATTATGTTCTCTAATGCAATTTTCATAACCAGGTGTTTTTGCTTTAAGCAATAATCTCACTGAATGATGATACATTTCCCTTAAGCAATCGTTAAACTCTCTAATTTTACATTTTAAACTCTTTAGTTTTAAAAGTTTGCTTAAATGGGTTGTTGACATGACATTGCATTTTCAGTGTCACACAATATAAAAACTTAAATAATTAATATTGTCATCATTTAAAATTTCTTTGTCTTACATGGACCCGTTGTTAAAAAAAACTTGCTTTGTTTATTATTTATTTATTTTTTACATTTTTGAGCTAAATCTTAAAATTGTCCTATGGTGTGACTGTCTCAAGGATGTTAAATAAATTACAACTTTTATAAATTAAAAAGAAAAGCATACAATTGTTAATAAATACCATCATTTTACAAGTGTCTATTTTAGTAATTGGCGATAATTTTTTCATCCATATATTTCTAAAAGCATATGAACTTGATACATTATGTCACTGAAAACTATGTCCTCCGGTGTGACACCATATCCTGTTTTTAAACTCCACGGACAACTTTAATTAGTTGAAGGACCAGGAATAGTGTTTTACAAAAAAACGTTTTTTACTGGATATTTGTCAACTACCCAAATATATTTTCCTATATATATCTTGAAAGATAAATATATTGAGTAAAACAAATTGGTAAATCTTTACAATTAGGTGTCAGTGTAGGATGTGTACACTGGGATGGGATGCGGGTGGTTACCCTTACCAAAAAGTAGTATACTTCAAGTTTATTTTAGTAAGTATACTTAAGTAAAGTTCAAGTATATTTTAAGTATACTTTATGTTGTAAGTATACAAATATCAGTGTACTAGTAGTATACTTGTAAGTGTACTATTTCAATACTCCTTGGGACTAAATTGGCCCACTTTCTAGTATATAAATGTGTACATTGGGATGGGATGCGGGTGGTTAGGTGAAACTGTAGATATGGGGGCCCCTTTTGAAAATCTGCTTAGGGCCCCCAAAACGCTAGGGCCAGCCCTGACCGTGGCCACTTATTTTCAGCCTCAAAAACTAATAAAATAAGATGTAAAAGTAAACAAAACAGAAGGGTTTGCAATCTTATAATATTTAAGGAATGTCCTGTTTTAATTCATGATTTAATAACTGAGGCAACTATTGTGGTGAATGTTTGTATGGTTATATTGGCTTATCTAACGCTAACAACGGCTAGATTCAGAACAGGGACTGTATGTTAATGTAAGTTACGCCCATGCAAAGTCACAAACGAGCGTGTGCCTAAAGACCAGTGAAAAGAGGGGTAGCAAAGGAGTTTCTCTTCCATCACTGTTAAATATGAGAGGTTAGTATGAAGACTTCTGGAGAGCTTTGCCTGCCGCTCTGAAGACACGAGAAACAGAAGCTCCGGCCAGATAAACTCCATTATCAAGTCGACTTTGGCGGCAAAAAAGGATAATTTGTAGCATTCGTCTTTTGTTTGAACGCCGACACAGAGGAAACCAGGAAATAACGCGCGGCTGGCATTTGGAAATTGTACAAAAAAATTAAGTAAGTTGTTTAAATTGAGTTAAATTCTTACTACATTTAGTTTTACAGAAAAACAATAGATTTAAGGACAAACAGTCGTTTTGGGTTGATGGGGTCACAGTGTAAATAGAGACTTTGGTAACTACAAATACAGTGAGACACGTGGCGATGTTCTGACTATAGAGTTGGATGTTTTCTTTGTTTTCGCGCGTTTCACTTCATTCTCAAATATGTGTTTTATCATAAACTGGAAATGCCCATGTGCAGTGTTTTAAATGAGCTCAAATGTCTTTTACGTGAGCTATTAACGTTTTATTTTAGGCTGGGTGTATATTGTGGAAGGCATGTTTTATTGTAGTTTATGGCGCGATATGGAGAAACTTTGTGTTTGTGTAATCCCGGAGAGAGAGTCGATAGTCGAAGTGTTGTTTCTCAATGGGCCACGCTGGGAAAGCCAAGCCTTTTGTCCTCAGGGGAAACGGAGAGGGCAAAACTCAGCGTTTCGGGTTCCGGATGGGGCCACATGGACCAGAAAACCATTCTAGAGATGAAACGATATGAACGTTTCTGATCACGGTTATCGGTATTATCACGGTATTGTTAAAATGCGTTGGAAGTGCTGATACGTTAAGTTTTATATTTAAGTATTTTTGTATATATATTTTTATATTTAAAATCGATAAAGTTACTTTTTGTTTGCATAAACACTAAAACAATAATGTCTGGATTTTAAACGACAACATGACTGACAAAAATAAATAAAATGGTAAACCTCACATTTCAGCCTTTAAATAAAGAAAAGAGTTAAGTCAATGATAATATATTTTATCTGCTCCATAAATAATCCGAATTGTTTAAATGTGTAGAATCAACTGGTCATAATTTACAGCAGGGCATGAAATTCAGTCCGTTTTTTTGGCCAGACAAAAACTGCACACACACAGGCTGAATGTAAATCTGTGAATCCACTCTCTGACAGCAGGTGGCGCTGATGGAACAGCAGAATTAGAGCCTGACAGCACACGTACATCACGGAGACGTCTATTTGACGTCTGCAAAACGTATTTTTTAGAGTGTGAAACAATAATGTCTGGATTTTAAACGACAACGTGACTGACAAAAATAAATAAAATGGTAAACCTCACATTTTAGCCTTTAAATAAAGAAAAGAGTTAAGTCAATGATAATATATTTTATCTGCTCCATAAATAATCCGAATTGTTTAAATGTGTAGAATCAACTGGTCATAATTTACAGTAGGGCATGAAATTCAGTCCGTTTTTTTGGCCAGACAAAAACTGCACACACACAGGCTGAATGTAAATCTGTGAATCCACTCTCTGACAGCAGGTGGCGCTGATGGAACAGCAGAATTAGAGCCTGACAGCACACGTACATCACGGAGACGTCTATTTGACGTCTGCAAAACGTATTTTTTAGAGTGTTTGCTCATCTGCAATACGCCTATAGGACGTTTCCTATGAGATGTCAAATAGACGTTTAGAAGATGTCTTTAAGACCACTTATACCAGAGAGCACATGGGCTCCAAATGATATGATTCCATTGTTTCTGGTAAAAATGGAATTCTATGGAAGCCTGTTTCCACCACGGAATAAAACAAATACATAAATAAAGAAGATAGGTGTGACTTATCTCACAATTCTCAATTCCAACTTTACATGTCACAATTCTGACTTTTTTTTCCCCAAATTTCAGTTTTGCGAAATAAAAGTAATTACGACTTTTATGATTTTTTTTCCAATTCTGACTTTTCTTCTCAGAAATGCGCGTTAACATCTCTCTATTCTGAGTTTATATCTCACAATTCTGCTTTTTTTTCCTTTTCTTAGAAATGCTCTGATTTAAGGTCTGTTCAGATTTTAAAAGTCATGTCATGTATTCCAGCCGTTAAGAAAGATTCGAAAAGACTGTGAACATGGAAGATTCGGCCATTTAACAGATTCGATTCTTCACCAGAGGAGCGCACGAAAAGAGTCGATTCGATTATTACCAGAGAGCGTAAAGTACTCGATACTTTTCATTTCGTTCTTCACCAGAGATGCAGAGAGGACACAAATTTAAACTTAAGGGCACACTTAATATTTTAATCTTGAAATGCTCTCAAGACTTTAAAACCTGGACTTTATTATAAAACATTTTCTGCTTACACATTTAGAGAAAGGTGCATCTGCTCATATGTACACACAGGGTCAACGGTAAAAATTCACTGCCAGAACAAGCACTTCATAGGGGCCTTCCTCCATCTCTCTGCTCATAGGGACTGATAAACAGACGTACTTTAGAGGACATCCCCTTTAAACAAACACACTGAACGTCAGTCGTTCCAGTCGAGTGACGCTCAACTCAGTGGACAGAGCTGTTAATAGTTACTTTTTAACAGTGCAGTGTGTGAAATGTAGCTCGCACACCTGTATGCCAAGAGGTTTACAGTAGATGCCTAATGTTTTTACTAAACACAACAAGACTCCCGAAACCGTCTTCATGCGTACTGTAAACAAACACACACGTGCAACTGACCACGACTCGATCCTCCTGAAAACTGAAAAAGTGTAATCTGTCCAAATGCGGATGGATTTCTACCACCGTCAAACCTGCTTTTCTTCATTCAGGAGGATGTGAATGGAGCTCATTTTAATAGGGAGTGTGAGTTACAAAAAAAATCCTCCCATAAGCCTGGCAGTTGAGGGCAGAGAAGTCTGGTGGACTGTGTCTAATCGTGTTAAACACAACAGGCTGAATCAGTGTCCTGCTGAGATCCCTGCAGTTTCTGCTGTCTTTCTTTGTATTGCCTGTATTCTCCCGTCACCACTCTGATCTCTTTTTTTCTGTATTTGAGTGTGTGTGCGTGTGTGTTAGTGGGTGTTTTGGTTATCCGAGTTATAATGACCGAGTTATAAAGACCGACCCCGTTTACAAACAAAAACTTTGACGCAAAGTCAATATTAGGCTATCTCTAGAATCAGAAGATGCACATTTGTTGTGGCTTTTAGACGCAGGCCTTGATTTAATAACTAAATTAAGCGTTCTAATTTGTGTTCTAACAAAGCATGTGTAATTTGTATTGCTTGTGGGGTTTATTGCAAGTGGTTTCGCAAACAGCAGCGCATGCAATTCGGTTGGGTACACCCCCTATTTAGAAAAAGCTTTTGTGTGTTTAGTTGTAGCGAATGTTAGGGAGTGTCTCTGTCTTACATCTCACACTAAATTCCAGAGATTTCAAGAATGAAGATTTATGGGTGTCGGTTTTAAAGGCATAATGTTACAAAAGATTCCTTTTTCGAGTAAATGCTGCTTATAAAACCTTTCTGTTCATCAGTTTTTCCTAAAAAATGCATCCTGGTTTTCACAAAAATATTGAGCATCAAAAACGGTTTTGATAATAATAAGAAATGTTTCTTAAGCAGGAAATCAGCATATTATAATGATTTCTGAAGATCATGCGACACTGAAGACTGGAGTAATGATGCTGAAAATTCAGCTGCGCATCACACAGATTATTTTACTAGCCTATATATTCACATAGAAAACAGTTGTTTTTAATTGTAATAATATTTCACATTTTTACTGTATTTTTAATCAAATAAATGCAGCCTTGGTGAGCAGAAAATACTTTAAAAAACACTGAAGACTGGAGTAATGATGCTGGAAATTCAGCTTTGTATCACAGCAATAAATTGCATTTGACTATATATTCACATAGAAAACAGTTTACATTTTACATTTAGTAAATGTAAATGACTAAATGTAAATGTAGAAAACAGTTGTTTTAAATTGTGATAATATTTCAAATTTTTACTGTATTTCTGATCAAATAAATGCAGCCTTGGTGAGCTTACAGCATCTTTTAGAAAAACATTTTTAAAATCTTACCGACCCCAAAATTTTGAACAGTATTGTATAAAAAATATGAGTGTATTGTATATATTCATGTATAAATGTAATTTCTAATGCAGCCTATGTATTTATACAAGTATAATAAATTATATTATACCAGAGTGATTGTGGAGTGGAATTCATAAATCACAAAGAAGAAATTGCAGCATTATTTACACCATCACATTATTGATTTTTTTTCTTATTTAAACGATTTGGTTAAAAGATTTGTGTATGGACATGACGCAAACCCACAAAAGCTGACAAGATATGCTATTTTGCACATCTTTAAAATGCAGTCCTTAAAAGATTACACTAGTAAATCAGCTAAAGTAGCTAAATTGGGTTCAAAAAGGCAGAATATTGTTTTCAGAAACGTATATATTTTTTCATATGCCGCTGTGTGTTTACTGACTGAGCCCTGACCCTGTTTTTCTCTGTCTGATAGGATGATGGCTCCGTCTCTGTCGCAGGCGTACAAGAGGCGCTGGTGGATGGCCGTCACAGCCGTGTTGGAGAATCTGTCGTGTTCGGCCGTGCTGTTGGGCTGGGGCTCTCTGCTCATCATGCTCAAAGGACAGGGCTTTTACTCCCACCTGTGCACAGGTAATCAGTCATAGAAGTCAAGCAGATCACAATCATCCTAACACCAGTCACTAACTAGCACCAAAAGAAAACCGAGCCAGAGTTCCTGGGAAACTTGAATTGCGTGGAGACTTTAAAACTTAATAAAGTCTCTGTCCCTTGCTTTCATTGACCTCCTCTCTCTCTCTTTCTGTAGAAAATGAGACTGAGAGTGTGAACACTAGCGCACCAGATGATTGGCCGAGTTGTGTGAATCAGGACGAAATGCTGAACTTGGGCTTCACCATTGGCTCATTTCTGCTCAGTGCCGCCACATTGCCATTGGGTATATTGATGGACCGGTTTGGCCCCAGGCCTCTGCGCCTCGGTGGAAGGTGAAGACACACCTACACACTAATGCTTTGAGTGCTTGCTGTGTTTTACAATGCCAACACTCCATCAGGAAGCAACACATGTTTTTAAGAAAGCACTTGAGTCATGGAATCCCTGCATGAGTTTGTGCACTTCAAAGCACTGATTAATATATGCATATAAGAGCACTTTCACATTCAAGTATGCATTTATGTAATAATCAGTCATGTGTTGTATTTTTTTTCTTAGTGTGTGTTTTGCGCTCTCTTGTGTGATGATGTCCATATCATCCTATCATCCAGAAGGTGAGCTGCAAACGAAAGAATCTGCATGAGTCTTCAAATTACAGCAATAATCAATAAATCTTTCAATAATTGCTGGAGTTTTTTTTTTTTACATTTAACATTCAGAACATTGTTTGAAAGTCAGTAGAGGCTATTTTAGTAATCAATTAATAACATTTCAATTAACTGAATTAAAAAAAAAATATATATATATATATTCAGAAATTTCATATTTTAGCTTTTTTTTGCCCGATTGTTTGTTGCTGCATTTAAATATAGATCAATGTTAAATCAATATACTGGCAGGGACAATTAATTAGACTTTTTAAGTTTGTGAATTAACAGAAGTGGTCATTCCTCCTTCAATTTTAAAATATACATGCAGCAGAACTTAATGTGCATTTTCTTTTCAAATATTAAAATGGTATTTTTATTTACATTTTGAACTCTAAGTAAATTTTGTGTAAACTGTTCATGTTCATAAACATTCACAGCCATACCCAGATTCTCAAATGTTGCATTTAGTAGCAAATTTAGCATATATATTCTACTGTATACAGAAGACACATAAAATTTGATTTGTCATATCAAAGTCATTGCCACAGTTTTGAGTTGTTCAAGCACACGTTTTGATTGTGTAATGATGGTTTGTGCCTTCTGTTCTAGTCCTTTCTGAACTAATTTTTCTGGCTCTGTCACTCAACGGCTTTGGAGGGATCTGTCTGACCTTCACATCTCTCACGGTAAGAAAAAAGAGAAAATGGTAGAGAAGGGAGCACACGGGGTCTCGCGGACACCTGCGGTGACTTGCATGTTTTATTGTGCAGCTGTCACACAAAGCTTTTTGAAGTTTATTTTGTCCAGACAGGTGTGTGGGTTTGTGTATTTATGTGTTTGGGACAGTCAGAGGATCGACGCAAATAACTGAAGGAGATATTCTGGCTTTTTCAGTGCCCACCAATCAGAAGGCTAAACTGCTCACACGCCTTCTCTTACGCCCTCTCCCTCCCGTCAACCTCTAGATGAAATGGACAAGGGCACAGACGTTGTACCCACATCAACAAACAGATTGTGACTTTCCAATCTGTTTAGTAATATCACCTGGTGTGGGAAAGTATGACTATATATATCAGCTGCCCTCAGATAGCCCACCGCTATCATGCAGATGCCAAAACACACTTATCCTTGTTCATACACATGGCTCATCTAGGGTTGCTCAGGTATGCGTGCACACTGCCCTACATGTGACAACACACACTGCTTAATTTCAGTGTCCTGTTCTACACTTCTGAGAAAAGCACACGCTCTGTGTCTTTAACAGTGAATTACTACCAGCATGGAGACAATAGCAGCTGATATTCTTCTGATCACTTTATTGACCCTTTTCCACATTGTTCATGATTTGATGTTATCAAACTCAGCAAGTCAATGACCTCCATGACTTTGTGTGCTTTTTTTTCTAGTTCCTTCAAATTAGCAGGGAACCAACCATAAGAAAGACCAATCACAAATAAAATATCTTTAATCCCTTAACTATTTGTTATAGACAAATATTTGTCATGATGATATTAAGGCGAGAGCAAATGGAAACTTTTGCTTAAGATGTTTCTTCTAATCAAAGGGCCTCACTAAAATCACACCCAACAGTCTCACACTGTGCTCAGATTTTCCTAAAAACCAAAGTCTGAAATCAGAATTCATAGAATTTAATATGAACCTTAACATTTGTTATCAAATTCTTCAAAGATCGAATTACCATTGGTGTACCTTAAGGTTCTGTGTTGGGTCCCTTCCTCTTTTCAGTATATATAACGTCGCTGGCATCTATCATCCAGGCACATGAGTTTTTCCAACCACTGTTATGCTGATAACACACCGTTTTAACTCTGTCTCATTCTATATGAGATATCTAAGCTGTGCTATCCACAGTTATGTTATAGCTTTTATTGCTATATATTTCTACGTTGTCAATAATTGTCTTTTTACGTACCTCTGTAATATGAACCTTAACATTTCTTATCAAATAACCGATGGTGTACCTCAAGGTTTTGTGTTGGGTCCCTTCCTCTTTTCAGTATATATAACGTCGCTGGCATCTATCATCCAGGTACATGAGTTTTTCCAACCACTGTTATGCTGATGACACACCGCTTTAACGCTGTCTCATTCTATATGAGATATCTAAGCTGTGCTATCCACAGTTATGTTATAGCTTTTATTGCTATATACTTTTACTTTGTCAATAATTGTCTTTTTACATACCTCTGTAATATGAACCTTAACATTTCTTATCAAATAACCATTGGTGTACCTCAGGGTTCTGTGTTGGGGTCCCTTCCTCTTTTTAGAATATAACATTGTTGGCATCTATCATCCACAGTAATGCTATAGCTTTTATTGCTATACACTCCTACTTGGTCAATAATTGTCTTTTTTATGTCTAATTATATTTTTATGAGGAAATTTAAGAGAAACATCAGAGATAAAGTTTTTAAAGTGCTTGCAATAAACATTGCTGAGATCTCTCCTGAGCCATGAACATCTGAGAAATAAATAGCATTGCTTTGGATACTGTATTGGTGTTTAAGGCGTGCAGCCTTCTGTTACAAGTTCAGGTTGAGGTTGTTATGCCACTCTGTGTTTGTGTGTGAAAAGCACAAGGAATACAAATGTGCTTTTTCACAGAAGTGTGCGTTTTTAACCTTCTCATTTCACACAGGGGAGTAAAACACACTCACACATCCTTGTAAGAGTCTGGAAAAACGAAGCAGTGCTTGGAAATTCTTGGAAAACGTAGAAAACTAATTTGATATGTATCCACAGCAGGACTTCCTGCTTACTGAAGCATATATATTTCTCACACAGCAATGCGTTCATTTTCACTCAATTAGTGAGGTTTAAGTAAGGCATCACTATCGCTCATACTTGCGGTTGGATATGATGTTCACTTGACACTTGATTTGAGCCATTAGGCAGCCTCCCAGATGCCTTAGCATCAATCTGGCGAGTTTTTCCATAGACAATCACCACTCATATTGTTTTCAGAAAATATAAAAATCTAGTTTTTCTTCCTCTTTTTGTTCATTGCAAGTGTAGGCTCAGCTGCTTTTGTTGTGATTTTTCCAATACTGATAATGATTTTCTTTTCCTCTCTTCCTCTGGTAGCTGCCAAACATGTTTGGAAGTCTGAGCTCCACTGTTATGTCTCTGATGATCGGCTCCTACGCTTCATCGGCTGTCACCTTCCCTGGAGTCAAGGTATTTTTTATGTGTGCAAATAGAGGTTAAACGTGTTTGACGTGTACAGTGTGCTCGGAATTAAAGCCTGATGAAATGTTGCATCAGATTGAATGAAACTGAATCACCTATGCCAAAAGGTTAGAAGTTATTGCCTTTAACTTCATAATATAAAAGCAGTGAGGCTAAAGTATTAATTCATTTATTCATTCAAGGTTTTGAGCTATGATTATGTACAATCAAATATAAATTCAATACATTAATACATCGCATTTGATTTAAAACACATCTGCTGTTATAATGTTACTCTAAAGTATAAAAATGTGTGTTTTCATAATCATTTCTTTCATCAAAATTAAGATCATGTAAGTGTTCTATTTTCATAGAAATTAAATTTTTTTTATTGAATGTATTAATTCTATTAAGTAATTAAATGGCATTGCCATGGCTGCATTTATTTGATCAAATATGCTGTAAAAGCGGTACAATTGTGAAATATTATTACAATTTAAAATAACTGTTTTCTATTATAATATATTTTAAAATGTGATGCAAAGCTGTATTTTCAGCATCATTACTCCAGTCTTCAGTGTCACATGATCTTCAGAAATAATTCTAATATGCTGATTTGCTGCTCGAGAAACATTTCTGATTATTATCAATGTTGAAAACAGTTGTGCTGCTTCATATTTTTGTGGAAACTGTGATACATTTTATTTTTCATGATGCTTTGATGAATAGAAAGTTGAAAAGAACAGCATTTATTTGAAATATAAATCTTTTGTTACATTATAAAAGTCTTTACTATCACTTTTTTATTATTATTTTAAAGCATCCTTGATGAATAGAAGTAATTTCTTTCAAAAAAAAAAATCTTCCAGACCCCAAACTCCTGAATGTGTAGTGTACCGAACATGCTGACCTGTTAAAACAGGGAGTGTCACTGTGTCTGTATGACTCTAAAGAATAGATGTTATTAGGACCGTGTTGTTCTTTGATATTTTGTCAAGCTGAACCCATTGTTACAACACTTTCTTCAGCCTCATTCAGACCTAAAACCATCAACCAGACGCTGCAGACAAGCAAAATCTTTTTTTTTTCATCAGGCAATCAAGCATGTCATACAAATGGGACAAACTCATCAATATTACATCTCCTCTTTGTGTGTCTCTCTTTCTCCAGCTGATATATGATGCCGGGGTGTCATTTACTGTTATCATGTGGATGTGGGCCGGCTTGGCAGCTCTGGTCTTTCTCAACTGTTTCATGAACTGGCCAGCAGAAGGCTTTGCTACACCAGAAGAGATTGAGAAGTTAGTACAAGTCCTGTCAACCTATATAAACCTCAAAGATTACTCTGAAAACAGACATGTAATGTTACTAAAAAAACAGCCAGCCTAACCATTACTCTCTTTGAGAGGGAATCACTGAAGCCTTCAGAGCTGGGTAGATTACTTACAAATTATAATCCGTTACAAAAATTGTAGTTAGTAACGTAATTTATTACATTACACATTTTAGATTATATGTAATTGGACTACTGTTTGATTAGTTTTGACGTTACACATTTATTACATTGATTTAAATAAGATATTGTACCATATTGATATAAAAATACAAAGAGATTGAAAATATATTCCATTCATTGTTATTAACAACATTAAGTGCGCTAAACATTACATTATGTGGAGGTTTCTTAAAAACTGGGGTTCGTTTGTGAGTTTAATGAAAAGCTATGAAAATAAATCATTTTTAAATAACATTAATCAAAATTAAACAATAAAAAAATAAAATATTTGATGTGTTTACCTGCATGTCATGTGTAGGCTATTTTAGAAAGGAACATTTAAAATATGAAAAAGAGGAATTAGGGAGAATCAATAAATTATGAATAATTTATGGCTCTTGTGTGAATTATTAAAGCAATAAGTCCCAAGAAGCCGTGATTTACAGTGAATTTATAACAGCTAAGGGGCGTTGTTAGGTACGACGCGAAGCGGAGGAAACCCCTTAGCTGTTATAAATTCACTGTAAACCACGGCTTCACGGGGATTACTGCTTTTATACAACGGTTATTCCATATACGTAGTTAGGTTTCACAAAATAAAACAGAGCAAATAAAGTGTAATGATATTAATAAAAACAGTATTCTTCCACCAAACAATGTAGTTCCTCAGAATCTGTTGTGGTTGCAACAAAGTGTTTGCCGAGCAACACACAAACGTAAACAAAGGTGTATGTTTGTAGAGTAATTTACAACAGCTTTGAACTTGGCTCAGCCAATCAGAATCAAGCACCGGAACTCTCCGCTTTATAAATGTAATCAATAAAAAAGTAACTGTAGTCTGATTATGAGTATTTTAAAATGTAATATAATCTAATTGCAAGTACTTAATTTTTGGAATCTGATTACATGTAATCAGTTACAATCTTGATTTATGAATAATAATTCCTTCCTTTTGTAACCATTTAGTAGGAAAAAGATGCATTCAGCTGAAAACCACAAATTATCTGCTGAAGAGGCGACAGGAGAAACGGAGAAACTGCCGGCTGTAGCTCAGGATGCACAATGTAAGGCACCTTGAGACGGAGTGATACATTTTGAGACCGTTTGTTACAGTTGTGTGAACGTGTAGCAGATGATGTGAAATATAACGTACGAACTCCTGGAAATCTGTTTCTCAGCTTCGGTCCCGTTCCAGCGCTCCGTGTTCTCTCCCATCTTTTTGTGGAGTCTGGTCACTATGGGAATGACTCAGCTGAGAATCATCTTCTTTATGGGAGCCATGAACAAGATGGTCGAGTTCCTGGTCACCCACGGAGAGGAGCAACGTAAGCCAAGCTACCAAACCTACACCTTATCACTGTATTCATTAAAGCTGCCTTCTGTTCAGGCGACTTAAAAAGCATTTCTGTCTTGTTTAGCCTCTGAAAAACTGTTGCAGGAAGCTGAGAATAAAGGTGAGATGAACCTTTCTTAAAAATATCGAGATATTATTTTTTGTCAATATCGCACACCCCTAATTGGATCTTATACATTTCTTTAACTTGACTGTAACTTCACTGAAGGACATGCAGCCGAAGCGCAAGCACAAATGCCGTCTCTCAGATGCATGCGAACCTGAGTTCAGTTCTCTTTCACAGCTTATTGCGCTTAAACGGTCAAATACACACACAATTAAGTCAAAATGCACATTGTGTGGAGTATTCACATAAACACAGTCTGTTATGTGAACGTAAACCGTTCGGACGGAGCAAATCGGATGTGTAACAGTATATTAGATCCGTGCATTCGTTCTTAAAGGAACAGCAGACTAATAAACTGTTGCCGTCTGTAACATTAATGTTAATAAAACAAACAAACAAACGTAATCACTTTTCTATCTTTATTATGAATCAATTTATATGTAATTCATACAGTGAACACTATGTAGTGTTTTATTTGTATATTTCTGAAGTATTAAACCTAGGCTACTGTACCTGAAAAACTTATTAATTTGTATATATTTGTTCTATTTTATTTGTCCTTCTGTTTATTTATTTTATTTACCAGTTTTAAATGCAAAAGGTTAAATTCTTGGGTCACACTTTATTTTAAGGTCCAATTCTCACTATTAACAAACCATTAACTATGACTTTTGCCTCAAACTCCTAATTTGCTGCTTATTAATAGTTAGTAAGGTATTTGTTAAGGTTAGGCATTGGGTAGGATTAGGGATGTAGAATATGATCGTGCTTTATAAGTACTAATAAAAAGCCAATATGTTAATGATAGGCATGCTAATAAGCAACTAGTTAATAGTGAGAACTGGTCCCTAAACTAAAGTGTTACCATATTTTTGTATCAAGGGATTTTATTTATGTACTAACTAAGCAGTTTGTCTCAGGGCTACATTGCTGACGACTCGTGTGTGTCTGATTGCAGTCAGCTGAAATGGCATTTGTTTTATAATACTAGGCAGACTAAAATGGGAAGAAAAACATATTTCAAGGTTTACATTTAATTCGGTGAGTTTTTTTTCTTCAAGACCTATTAAACTGTCTACTGTAGTCAAATAGGAAAAATAACACAAAACAGTAAACTAGAATCAAATCTATGCATGAATCGAATCGAAATTTGATCCACAATCGTGAATCGATTTTAATCTAATCGTGAGGTTAAGATCAATCAATCGATCAACTCGTGCATGAAAATGATTCCTCGTGCTCACTGAACCACTATTTCACAACTTTGGTCCAAAGAATCGTGAAATTGTCGTCCTGAGATATGGACATGGGTGCATCTATCAACATGGTTGTTTAAGAAAAGAAAAGCGACAGACTGCATCAGTTTGGCTTAAAAGAATTGTCACCAAACATGCCAGAAACATATTAATCACTGCAATAATGATCCAATCCTAGACTCTTCACTATTTGCTTATTTAAATCCAAATGGCGACTTTTGTTTTGCCCGGGAAGAGCATATAAGAAGCAAACGAACCGACTATCTCCTGATGGCTCTGTAAAATATGGCCTTTGGCTTCTTGTCTCCTGCCAGAGCTGTTGCGGAGCCGAAGCGTGACGGAAAGATCCAGAAGCTGACCAATGCCATAATAGCCTTCATCTTCACAAACGTGCTTCTCATGCTGTTTGGGATCCTCTCGCTCGTAGACAACCTTCCTCTACAGGTAAAACACTCTGATCAGCCTCATAGTCAAGTCTCCTTTATTTCTACAGCGCTTTAGACAGTATAGATTGTGCCAAAGCAGATTTACACTGTTAAACAGGAAAGTAATGTTTCAATGCTGCAGACAAAATTCAATTCTGCTGTAAATCAGCTCTAAAAAGACAATCGTAAACAGTCCGTTTTTCAGTTAAAGTCAGTTCATCGTTGATTCAGTTCAGTTTCATAACTGTGTAAAGTTCTTCAATTATGGAATGAGTTTAATTCATCTATAACGCTGCACTGTAAGCAGACTAAGTAGCTCATGTTGTGAGTGGATTAATGGATTTTTACAAATACACTTTTTTTCAAATACACTACAATTCAAAAGTTCAGATTTAAAAAAAAATGTTTTTGAAAGACTCTTATTCTCTCCAAGGCTACATTTATTTTATCAAACATACTAGGAATGTAAATTTTCAATCGTTCCCATGATCAATCGTCATTTAAATTAACGATCAATTAATCGATTAATTGTTAACCTTAAACGGTTAGTTCACCCAAAAATTTAAAATTAACCCATATATTACTCACCCTCAGGTCATCCTAGGTGTATATGACTTTCTTCTTTCAGATGAATCCAGTCGGAGTTATATTAAAAATTGTCTTTGATCTTTCAAGCCGTTTCATGGCACTTAGCGGGTGTTGCATGCATCAGTCCAAAAGAAGTGAAATAAAAAGTGCCCATCCATAAAAAAAAGTGTCTCACACGGCTCCGGGGGGTGAACAAAGGCCTTCTGTAGTGAATCGATGCGTTTTTGTAAGAAAAATATCCATATTCAAAACGTAATAATCACTTTAATGTAGCTTGCGTTCACTGTTGTACATGGAAGCAGCTCCGGGCGGATGACGTATGAGG